CCCCCCCAGGTGATGGGGCTTGGGGGCGAGGCTTCACACCAACTGATCTCAGGTGAGTTTGGTTTCTGCATCCCAAGTGGATAGTGCCCATGGCTCCTGGCCGTTACCCAACAGGGTTGTGGGGGAGGCCAGCTTGGCGGGTGGGTACCCCTCAATGTCCATGCAGACCTGTCCCATGTCAGCCTCCCGGAAGCTTCTCTCAGGGCTACTCTCAGGACAGCACTACTCTTCCTCGGAGCTTGCACCATGGCAGGAGGGCAGCACCCTCTACTTCTCACCCCAAGTGTCTACTACCTGCAGAAGGTGCAGGGCTGAGTCCCGGGCCCCGGCCTGGAGCAGCCCAGGCAGCTGGGCCTTCCTCTCTCGGACGACCTCCATGCAACCAGCAGCATCAATCTGGAACAGCTGAGAGAAACGGGGTATAGGAGACCCCTGCCCAGGCCCCTGCAGACCCCATGGGCCGAGACACGGAGGCACAGCTCCAAAGTGCCCGAGGCCTCGGCCTTCCTGTTCTCCTGCTTTGGACACTTGGGAACGGCTGGTACCGTGTCCCAGTCACCACGCTCCTCCCCTCATCTTCCACTCATACCTGCATCCCCACCCTTCCCAGGACACGTGGACCTAGCAGGATGACAACGATGAGCAGTGGCTGCCCTTCCCCATTCATTTGTTAACAGCTGTCAAGCACGGGGAGTACGTTTGCTAGGATCAAGAACTTGAGACGACTGGACTTCAAGGCAACTTCAAAACTTCACCAGCAATTTTTCCAAAGCACAAGGATGCAAAGCTCTGCCCAGGGGCTTACCTGGATGAACAGGGTGAACACTGGAGTGCTGGCCAGGTGGGTGTGCTGCAACTGCTCCCTGAGGCCATCGGCTGGGGACAAGGACATGCTAGGACATGGCTCCAGCTCCCATGCTCCTCTCTGGGACACCCCAGGAGCCCTTGGGACTGGGTGCCAGGCAGGGCTGAGAGGAGAGGCTTGGGAACCAGCACTGAACAAGCCCAGCAGGACCAACGGTGGGTCCCTGAGCCCTTTTCCTACCCAGAGAACCCTGGTTCGAGTTGCCTCCGTGCTTGGTCCAGGAAGAACAGCCAAGGCAGGAAGGGACACTGGCCTTGAAACCAAAACCTCAGGAGCACTGGTGTCCCCACTGAGGCCACTTCCCTAACTGACCCCTGCATGCCACATGGGACACACTCCTCGCCCCCATCTCTAGCCCCCAGAGGCTGGCAAGGGAGACCAGGCCGTACCTCGGGTCTGCATTGCGGTGGGCCTCTGGGGAGCCTGCGTGCAGGGCAGGGTGATATCACCCACCCAGGGGGTCACGGCCAGCAGAAGCCTGCGGTCAAGGAGCCTCCGTTGCAGAGCACGTCTCCAGTGCTGCTGCCCATTCTGGAAGGTGCCATGCCACAGCCGCCGCACGTGAGCCTGGGCCACGTTATCACTGGGAATGGCCCCCAGGGATGAGCTGTGCAGGGGCAGCTTCTTCAGTTTCTCCTTCTGTAGGGGAGGTGAAAGCAGCTGGACCTCATGGCTAGGCTTGGCTCCCAGGAGTGACCCCCTGCTTCTTTCAGGGCAGGGTCAGAGGGGAGAGAAACTGCTCCCAACAGGATGAGGTGGCAGGGTGTGCATGTGCCAGTGGGGCAGGGGTGGTAGGCCTTACCAGCGTGCGCCTCTGCATGGCCGTGTTGGTTCTCAGCACCCTCAGCACTGTCTCCAGCGGCACCTTCAGAGAATGCTTCCCATCCTGACAAGGTACCATGTGAGGCAGAGCATGTGGGGGGCCCCAGCATGTGGCCACAGCCACCTGCCCACCCAAACTCCAAAGCACAGTTGTGTGCCCCACCCTGCCATGGGGGAACATCCTGTGGGGGTCCCCAGTCAGTGGTCAAGCTGACAGCAGCATCTCTCCAGGCCATGCCTCCTGCCTGGGGAGCAATACCATGGGACGGGGCTCTGCCAGCCACCTCGGAGTCCACTGTCCCCTCAACAACTACAGGATAGGCCAACCTGTTCAATTCCCGACTGCTATTCCAGAATGACTAGAGCTGTGCTTGTGCCCTGGGTCCCAACACCCTGGATAAGCAGACACCCTTGATTCACCAAATTGGATCTGGCAGGTGGGCATTGCCCTTCATAGGAAGGGCCTCGGGACTCCTGCAGGCTGGGAGAAAACAGCCTCTCCTGCTTCCCCTTTCTCCCTCCCTCACTCCCTGGCTTGGGGAGTCAAACGTTTCCAAAGTGCCCATTCAGCCCTGTCCCTGAAGCAGCTAGCAAGTTGGAGAAAACAGAGGCTGCCAGTCTCAACAGAGAAGGCTGCTGTTCCAGGCACAACTCTCCAGGAGTCAGCCGGAAGCTAAGAACAGTGAGGCTTCTCTGCACTATACCTGGGGACCTGGCTGGTGGCACTCACGCCCCCCTGTACACTTAGGTGCATCAGGACCTGGGCCTACCTGGAAGGCAGGCTCCTTGGAACTCGCTGGAGGAATGTCCGCCAAGCATGAGTCCTGGATACCTTTTGGCATGGCGCTGTGGGTCCCGGAGGGGGCTTGTGCCTGGCTCGCAATCTCCCTAGGAGCCAAGTTTGGGGTAGAAGTTTCCTTGCCACCCTCTTGAGTGGCACTGGCCCCCTCGGGAGGGCTGGGGGAGGCAGCAGGACATCCCAGCCAGGCCTTGGTGCCTCCTCGCCGTGGCTGGCTGGCACTCTGCCTGGCAGGAATCCATAGATCGATGTCCGGCACCATATACTGTGGGGATAGCAGCGCTGTGCTGCCCTCCCAAGCCGGCTCCTGCTCCACCTCATCACTGCTGCTGCTGCCACTGCCACCCCGGCTACTGTCCCCGCTGCTGTCCCTACTGCTGCTGCTGCTAGAGCTGGAGCTCCACTGGACGCTGTGACGGGGTCTTCGCCGTCTCCTCCGGAGACTCTGCTTCTTCTGAGGGGAGGAAAGGACTGCTGGAGGCCTCAGCTTCTGGGCTCACCGAGGGACAGCAGGCAGGTGGGCCAGTCCTATAGTGAGCAGCCCACAGGGGACCCCAGAGTAGAGGGCAGTTCCGAGGCAGGGTGTCCCTCTGCCCTTGGCCTCTTGGGAGTAGGAATGCACAAGCCATGGGCCCTCCTCCCTCCCCACCACCCTCACGCCCCTCATCCTGCCCAGTGGGTCCCACGGGGGGCGGGGCCTCTTGTCCAGCTTCAGGTAAAACCCAGAAACAAACGAGAGCCTCACCCCAGCCATGATTCTCCACTTGCTCAGACACTGGGAGCCCGATCGATGGGGCAGTTCCGAGGCTATTTTTGCCCAGTGACCTACAAAAGCAGAAACCGTGTGGAAATGGCTTTGCACAAACAGGCTCTGCTGACCCAGGTTCATTAGCTAGCTGGAAGGAAGGCCCTTCTCCAGGTGGGCTTGCTGCTCTTGGCAAGACTAGCTTCAGGCCCATCTGCTCTTGGAGACGCTGGGTGACACATGTTGGTGTCCCTACAGCTCTACAGCACCTGACTCTCTGCAGGCTCAGCCCACTGGGAAAGTTCTGGCAAATCACAGCCAGGAAGGTGAAACCCACATATACACAGACACGGCCTCTTGTGTCTGCCACACCCAGGCTTCTATACTAGATATTACCAGTGATTCCCATTCTCTCCCAGATGGGACTGTGGGAGGGAAGCTGGGGTGCTGCTTCCGTAGGGCACTTTGACAACACGTGGCAAAGCCTTGGTGCCTGGTACGTCTCTGTCCCTGGCAATTACACAACTAGAACTTACTCTAAGGAGACATTACAAATACACACAAATATTTAGTTTCTAAACATTCAGCTTGCCAGGGGTGGTAGCTCATGCCTGTAGCCAGCTACTTGGGAGGCTAAGGTGGGAGGATCACTTGAGCCCAGGAAGTCCAGGCTGCAGTGAGCTATGAGCTCACCACTGCACTCCAGCCTAGGCATCGGAGGAAGACCCTGTCTCTTTATAACAAAAAACAAATAAACAAAACCCCTACTCAGCTCATTTATAAAAAAAGGGGAATTTAAATATTCATCAGGAAAACACTGGTCAAATAACTTATGTACAACCCTTCAGAGCGATATAGTGCAGCTACTGAAAATAGTGACAGGAGCCAGGTGTGGTGGCTCACGTCTGCAATCCCAGCACTTTAGGAGGCAGAGGTAAGAGGACTGCCTGAGCCCAGCAGCCTGGGCAACAGAGTGAGACTCTGACTCAAAAAACAAGGCTGGGTGCAGTGGCCCAGACCTCAATCCCAGTCTTAGGGAGGCTGAGGCAGGAGGATCACTTGAGTTGAGTTTGAGACCAGCCTGGGCAACATAGTGAGACTTCGTCTCTACAAAAGATTAAAAATTAGCCAGGTATGGTTGCCTGCACCTGTAGTCCCAGCTACTTGGGAGGCTGAGGAGAGAGGACTGCTTGAGCCCAGGAGTCTAAGGCTGTGGTGAGCTGTGATCATACCTCTGCACTCCAAACTGGTTGACAGAGTGAGACCCTGACTCAAACAAATTCCCCCAGCAAAAAAAAGAAAAAAAAACCCAATTAGCAACAAAAAAGAAAATAATGAAACACAGAATGTGTAAAGACAGCATTCATGCACATAGCATAGTTAATGATACATCATTAGGGAAAAAAATAGCTGGTTACACAATTATTGATCTTTTAAAAGGTGTCTTCCTAGAAAAGCAGTCTGCACAGAGGAAGGCTGGGTAGGTGTACACCAGCTAGCAGTGGTTATCTCTGAGTGGTGAAATTAGTTATGTTACTTTTCTTCTTTCCATACATCTGCACTTCTAAGTTTTCTACAATGAATGTGCATTAGTCTGCAATATGGGAAAATCACTGCCATCTGTCAAAACAATAAAAAACAAGGCAGGAGAGTATTGATTCCAAGAAAACCAGCACAGGATCAGAAAACCCGTGAGCCTTCAATGGTGTCTGCAAACCTTTACTATAAACTCAAAGCTAGTAGAAACTGGATCAGCAGGCTAGCTTGGTGGTTTGCGCCTATAGTCCCAGCTACTAGAGAGGCTGAGGCAGAAGGATCACTTGAGGCTGGGAGTTCAAGACCAGCTTGGGCAACATAGTGAGACCTTGTCTCTTGAAAGAAAAAAAAACATGGTGGTACATGTCTGCAGTCCCAATTACTGGGGAGGCGGAGACAGGAGAATTACTTGAGTCCAGGAGGTTGAGTTCATGACTGCACCACTGCACGCCATCCTGGATGAGAGTAAGACCCTGTCTCTTAAACACAAACAAACAAACAAATGAAAGAAACTAAAAGAACCAGCGTACCAGCACCGTATTTTCTTATTAGTTCAGTTAACTGTTCCTCTTCTTTTAAATCCCACCGTCCCTTTTTCAAGCTGAAATGCAATCTTCTGAGATAGCTGAAAGCAACATAAAAACAAAAGCACATTTGAGATGCCATGACATCTCCCATCGCTGTCCCAGCTTTTTCATGGTTTCTGGGATTTAACACCCAAAGTACAAGCAACACAAGAGAATGATAGCTAAACTGGACTTCATATAAATTTAACACTTTTGTGTTTCAGAAGACACCATCAAGAAATGGAAAGACAGCCCATAGTATGGGAGAGAATATCTACAAATCACATATCTGATAAGGGACTTGTCTCTGGAAGAACTCTTGTGAGAAAGAACTCTTACAAGTCAGTAATACAAAGACAAGTAACTTTTACAATGGGCAAAGGATTTGAACAGACATTTCTCCAGAGACAGATACATATACACACAGCCATGAGCCCGTGAGGGACGCTCAGCGCCACAGGTTGTCAGGGAACGCACATCAGAACCATAGGGAGATACTACCCACACACGCCAGGATGGCTCCAATCACAAAGACAGACGACAGGTGGTATCAACGATGTGGAAACCGCAACCCTCACACACTGCTGGTGGGAATGGAAAATGGCTCAGCCACCTAAGAGAACAGTCTGGTAATTCCTCAAAAGGCTAAGTATGATCACTGTTGGACCCAGCAATTCCAAATCCTATGTCCCGAGAGAAAGAAACATATGTGTCCACATATAAGACTGTCCACAGACGCTCATAATGGTCCCAAGGCTCATCTACGCTGTACCAGAATTTATAGAAAATAGTATTGACCAGAACCTTGTTCCTCCTGGTGAACTGAAGGCTGAATAATACTCCACATGTGAACAGACCACATGCTCTTTATCCGTCATCCAGCAACAGATACCAAGCTGTTCCCTCTTGCAGCTCTTGTGAACATTCTGCTATGGACATCACTGCACAAGTATCTGTCTGAGTTCCTGCTTGCAATTCTTTTAGGTTTTACACTTATCAATTATTTTGGGTAAAATTCTGTTTAACTTTTTGAAAACGGCCACGCTGTTTTCCTAAGAGGCTGTACCATTCTACATGACCAACAAAATGCACAAAGGTTCCAATTTCTTCATATTCTTGCCACTACAACGTGTATGTGGCTATAGCTCATGTTTCTGTGATAACTAACAATGCTGAGCTTGGCTTCAGGGGCTTACTGGTCATCTATGTATCATCTTTGGAGATATGTCTATTCAAGGTCTTTGCCCACTTTTGGATGGGGTTGTTACTTGTTCAGTAGGGTTTTTGTTTTTTTTGAGCTGGAGTCTCACTCTGTCACCCAGGCTAGAGTGCAGCGGGCATGCTCATGTCCACCACAGCCTCGACCCGCTGGGTTCAGGTGATCCTTCCATCTCAGCCGTTCAAGTAACTGGAACCACAGGCACGCACAACCATGCCCAGCTAATTTTTTCCTTTATTGTAGAGATGAAGTCGCACCAAGTTGTCCAGGCTGTTCTCAAACTCCTGGGCTCAGGTAATCCTCTCACCTCTGCCTCCCAAAGTGTTGGGATTACAGGTGTGAGCCACCATGCCTGGTTTGAATAAAGTTTCTTTTGGGGACAATCAGAGTATTTTAAGATTGACTGCTAGCTGGGCTCGGTGGCTCAGCCTGTAATCCCACACCTTTGGGAGGCTGAGGTGAGTGGATTGCCTGAGCCCGCGGGTTCGAGACCCGCCTGGGCAGCGAGACCTCATCTCTACAATAAATCAAAAAATCAGCCAGGCGTGGTAGTGCATGCCTGTAATTCCGGCTACTTGGAAGGCTGAGGCGGAAGGATCGCCAGAGCCCAGCAGGTCGAGGCTGCGGTGGCCGGGAGCGGCAACTGCATTCCAGTCTGGGTGACAGAGTGAGACTCCAACTCAAAAAAAAAAAAAAAAAAAAGATTGACTGCTGCACAGTTCTACAAATACACTGAAAACCACTTGTGTGTATGCGAATAATATCTCAGGAAGACCATGTTCTAAAAAAATAGACAAGCAGGAAAAGAAGGAGCTGCCACTCCTGCCCAGAGCTCTTCCCACCAGCACTCTGGGAAACTTAGACAAGGGTCAAGAAAACTGCCACCAGGGAGGTGTCTCAAGCAGGGGCAATATCTTATTGTTGGTGAACAGTAATATAAATAGGACATACAATTCTGGACTGGAAAAATGGCTTATCCAGTGTCCCAAGTGGGTCAACCATGGCACATAAAGTCCCCACAGGCCATATGTGCCTCCTGGCCACCATCACCTAGCCTGCCCACGACCTGTGTGAGCTCAAGCCTTGAAAGCAACCCAGCAAGCCCCTCCCTGCCACAGTTCTGTGCAACTCACCGATCTCGGCACTGGGCATCACTCCTACCTGGCACCTCTTCTCGGATCTTAAACCAATACTGCTCCCCATACTTGGCAACGGCTTGAAGCAACTTCTGCAGGAAGGGACACACAAATGACAACTCTAGGCACAGCTGCAACCTCCCCACCCTGAGCTCAGTCAGCCTAAGGGAAAGCCATGAGCACTGTGGTCACTTAACATATGAGGTTAACCTCCCAGAAGATGGTTCCCCTTGGGCCCCACAAACTTACAGCATCTTCCTCTGGAGCCCAGAGCCCCTTTTTCAGGCTAGGATCCAAGCTCTTGGTCCAGCGATAGATCAGCTGCATGGAGTCTCTCCCTTCCATGTAGTAGACAACTAGGGAAAGGGGGAGTCCTTGGGGGCTGAGACACCTGCCCTCCATGTAGTAGACAACCAGGAAGAAAGGGTCCTGTGGGGGCTGAGACACCTACTCTCCATGTAGTAAGTGACCATGGAGAGAGGGGCTCGTGGGGGCTGAGATACCCACGTTCCATGTAGTAGACAACCAGGGAGAGAGGGGTCCATGGGGGCCAATACACTCACCTTCCATAGAGTAGGCTATGGACAGAGGGGCCCCAAGACACCCACCCTCCAGATGGGTCACAAAGAAAAGAGTCACTAATCACCAAGATTCTGCTTCTTGCCACCCCTCCCAGCTAACAGTGGGCTTCCCCTGCAGTGCCTGCATTCGTGTAGGCAGGGCCCTCAGCCTCTAGGCTGCCGACTTGAGCTCTGGGGCAAGGGTGGGCCCTCACTTTTGCGGTAGGGAATGTGGCTCCCAACGCGCATCTCCTGCACCAGCTGCGTAAGCATGTGGTCCTCCTCTTCCGTCCACTCTTTGCGCTTCAGGGCTTTGTTGTGCTGCTGGAACTTCTGTAGGCACTGGAAGGCACTGCGGCTAGTCTTCCCGAGGTCCAGACAAAAGCAAACAGGGGTTACTGGGCTTTGCCTGTGCACTGAGAGATGGCCAGATCTGGCTCTGAGAGTGCTCCAGGACAGGTGGCCTGAGAGGCAGACAGACTGACATGCCTGTGAATCTGTGCTCTCTCCTACCAGACTTCCATGGGAGTATGCAGAGCACACATGGTGGGAAGTCACTGAGCCCACTAAACAGCACCAGAAAATGCCAGTGGAGAGGGGGCTTAAACATGCTCACTAAGAAAATACCATACAGGCTGGGTGCAATGACTCACACCTGTGGTCCTAGCACTTTGGGAGGTTGAGGCAGGAGGATTGCTTGAGTCCAGGAGTTTGAGATTAGCCTAAACAACATAGTGAGACCTCATCTCATCTTTACAAAAATAAAATAAAAATTAGCTGGGTGTGGTAGTGCCCGCCTATAGTTTCAGCTACTTGGGGGGCTGAGGCGGAAAGATCGCCTGAGCCTAGGAGGTGAGCTGTGATCATGTCACTGTACTCCAACCTGAGTGAGAGTGGGACCTCAACTCAAAAACAAAAAAAACCCTAAAATCTTAGATCCTCTAGAAGTCTAGTAATAGAAGATGATTTCATGCCAAGCTTTCTCAGAAGAGTAAAATGCCTTAAATGTCTTTGCTATCAAAGACAGGAAGCCCAAGTAAAGAACTCAGTCCTCAACTCAGGAAATCAGAAAAACAACAAACTCAAAAGAAATCAGGAAAAAGTGATCTTTTTTTTTTTTCAGTCGGAGTTTCACTGTCACCCAGGCTGGAGTACAGTGGCACAGTCAGTCACTTGCAGCCTCGACCGGCTGGGTTCAGGCAATCCTCTATCTCAGTCTTTCAAGTAGCTAGAACCACAGGTGCACACCACCATAATAGGCTAATTTTTTGATTTTTTTCTTGTAGAAACGAGGTCTTGCTAAGTTGACCAGGCTGATCTCAAAATCCTAAGCTCAGGCAATTCTCTTGCCTCTACCTCCCAAATGGCTGGGATTACAGGTGTGAGCCACTATACCCGGCTTAAAAAGTGTTCTTTTGAAACACCAACACAATAAACTTCTCCTAAGGTTGAGGAGCAGACAGAGAGAGACTGGGAACGAGAAGGGGAACAGCTCCAGATGAAGCTCCAAGACCCATGACTGTGTGCAAAAGCCCAGAGGACCTGGGAGGCCCAGCAGACCTGGCCAGGGGCCTGGGGAGCGAGGTGTAGACAGGGCCACATCCTAGAAGCCTGCCTGGCTGCCTCCTGCTCCAGGACCCTGTCTGGTCCCTGTCTTACCCCCAGCTCCTCTGCGACCTTCTGCCACTCCAGGTGGCCATGCGTGGCTGCAATGGCCTGCAGCCGTGCCACCTCCTCCTCACTCCAGGCCTGCTTGTTGATGCTTGGGTGCTCTGAGTTCTGCCAGAATTTCCGGATGTCCTCCGCACGGCGGCCACCTTCAAACTGCACCAGAGAGAGAGTCTTGGGGGCCGCCAACCTCAGGGCACCCCAGATGCACTCAGGCAGGGCTGTTGCCCTCTGCCAGCAGGTGGCTTCCACAGCCGGAAGCCAGTGGACTCTGTCCAGCTCACTAGTACTTGCGCAGCCACAAATGCAGATCTGGCTCCAAATGCAAAGCCTCAAGAGCGTTCATTTCAGAAGAGGACCTCCCAGCAGCACGGAGGGCCTTGTGAAGCTACCATCACTCCCAAGTGCCTGACCAGAAGGGTCACAGTGGATGGAGGAGCAGTAAGAGTGCAGGCTCATGCCAACTTCACCTGCACCCAGCTCTAAGGAATAGGCCATGGCTGCTGCTGGCCTGCCTGACTCACGTTCACATTGGAGATCTTCTCCCAGTCATGGCTGTCCAGTCTGTTTCCCAGCAAGGCCTCCTCTGGGAGCTGGCTGGAGAGAGGAACAAGAGAGCTGGCTGACATCATACCCAAGCTGTGGCTCTCCCCAGGTCCTCAGGAAGTTCCATCTCACCTGATGTCCTGGACCTCCTTCTCGGCCTCCCTGATCTGCTTCTCTAGAACCTGCCTCTCTGGCTCACTGGAGACCCTGCTCTGCTTCTGCTGCAAGTACTCCAGCCTGTGGGGTACAGCAGAGGTGCAGGCTGAGGGCGTGCTACCACTCAGGGGGCTTGAGCCCTGCTCTCTGGGCTGTACCAGCAGGGCTAGTTACTCTACATGGCAGTGGAGAGCTGAGATTGAGAGCCTGGTTTAAATCCGCTAGCCTCATCCTCCCTGCCTCAATCTCCCACCCATAAAGGAAGCAGCAGCCCCTCTGCGGATTGTACCCAGGGTCCAAACAGCTGAAGAGTGTCTGCTGATGCAAATGGTAATTACCTGCTACCCTCCACATCTCAGAGCCTGACCTACACCCCTCCAGAGCCACAGTGTCTGGGCTCCCAGCTTAGCACCTGGCCTGTGGCTATGAAGATGCAGACATCTGCAGATGTGCAGCAAGGAGGCAGAGGCTGCCTCTTAAGACACATTTGCTGCTACAGTCAATAACCACTTCCCAGAACAGGAAAGTAGGGAAGGCCCAGCTCCCCACACCTTGAGGAAGGGCCACTATCACCATGAGAATCCTGACCACACATAACAGCCTATGAGGTACAGGCCCAGCTGCAGACCTCAGTGCCTGAGAGACCATCTGTGCTGGCTGCTTCTGGCCTAAAGGTACCCCCCTCTACCACCAGCCCCCGTGGCAGCTGCACAGGGGTGGGCCCATACTACCAAGGGAGTGGCCAACCAGACCCGGTCTCACACGGGGAGCACCCATGTCTCTGCCCAGCTGCCAGTGGTGTCCCCTGGCGAGTGTCTATAACAAAGCAGTGTGTGTGACTCATGTCAGTCGGGTGATTATCACCCTATCAGCAAGTACGTTAAGTGAGTTTCACGAATGGTCCCTGTTTTCTTTGTTTTTTTTTTTTGAGTTGGAGTCTCACTCTGTTGCCTAGGCTAGAGTGCAAAGGCATGCTCACGGCTACCAAAGCATCGACTTGCTGGGCTCAGGTGATCCTTCCACCTCAGCCTTCCAAGTAGCTGGAACCACAGGCATGTGCCACCATGCCCAGATTATTTTTTGATTTATTAAAGAGATGAGGTCTCGCCATGTTGCCCAGGCTGGTGTTGAACCCCTGAGCTCAGGCAATCCTCTCACCTCTACCTCCCAAGTTTTCAGAGGGGCAAATAGGGACCCAGAAGAGAAAGACTGCCTGAGCCTCAGAGCTAGTATGGCTTCACAGCCCATCCTGATGCCTGATGTGCAGGCTGCCTCCCCTGGGCACCAGCACCCCTTCTTGCTGGTCAGATTCTGGTGGGGAAGGGTGCATGGGTGACCTAAATCTCTGCCAAGCCCAAGCTGGCCCCTCCTGCTGGCTGGGAGGCTGTTCTGCCCTGACTTAGACTTACTTCAGTAACTTGGGCTGGAGCAAGCGCTGTAGGCGGGCGCTCACCACAGACTTCCTGAGCAAGGCCTTCTCCCAGCTTTTCCCTGAGAAGGAATGATAGTGTTAGGAGGCAATGCGTGGACCCTGGGATGCACTCTGTTCACGGGTACTACCTACACCCTGGGTACCATCATCAGCTCCCACGTGCAAAGGCAGGAGAGTTAAGCAAAGAGTGAGGACACAGCCATGCTATCCAGTGCCCCTCAGGACACCAACTGAGCAGCACACCAGGCCCACGGACATGGCCTCCCAACCAGCAAACGTGGTTCCTCTCGGACCTGGCATAAGCTCGTGGCAGGGTCAGCTGGGCTGATAACCCAGGACAGGCAGGGGAGGCTGGAGAGTGAGTGGGTAAGGCCCGGCCGTCCCTCATCATCCTCAAAGGAATCCGCTAGTGTGGGAAAGGCAGGGTCAGGGCCCGAAGGAGAGAGACTTGAGAACCACAAAACAGCCCTGGGGAAAGGCAGGCAGGGGGCCCTGGCCCCTGAGCTCTGTGGGCACCACAGGCCCAACTTGAGCTTACACTTGGTCACAAGGAGCTCCTCGAAGCCTTTGATGCCCTGGGTGGCCTTCTCTCGTGCATCCTCGTTGGCAGGAGGTCCCTGCAGAATACATGGGTCAGAACAGGCACAGACTGGACACACATGTCTCTCTAGGTCCACCCAAGGACCCAGGTCCCTCCTCTCAGCCTCCTTCCTGCCTGCCCACGTGTGGAGCCAGGCCCTGACTCTGCACCCAGAGCTGTGACCGCATGAACGGCTATGGGTATCATCGGCAACACAGGGTGGGCTCGGTGACCCTGCTGCTAGCAACACCGGAATCTGCATGATAATGAAGACTTGCTGGTCATCTGTTAGGCCACCTCAAAGGAATAGCCAGGTGGCTCACCCACAGAGAAGGGGCCAGTCAGTCTGCCCATCCAGGGGAGTGGCCTGGACGCTCCCCGTGGGATGAGGTAGAGTTTTAGAGGGTGGAGAATGTTATTTTGAAGAGCCCAAGAGAATTCACGACCACCCACCTCAGGCTGTGGGGTGAGTCCCTCCCACAGGCACTGAGGCTTGTGATGAGAGTGGGGCCGTGGCACTCACCACTCCAGTGACCTTGTCCTTGAAGTAGGGCCTCATGAAGTGCCCTATGTACATGTTAGGGGGCAGGTTCTTGCTCTCCTTCACCTTGGGGCCTTTGGACCCCGCCAGGTCCCATGTGATTTCCTCCTGCAACAGACACAAGGGCCATCTGGGGCCAGGGAGCCCAACCCTCGCTGTGGGAGAAGGGGACCCCAGTGGAAGAGAGGCATGCAGTGGGGAGTCCTGGTCCTGGGAGGCCAGGACATGGGGGCTCCTGGGGCGGGGTCAGACAGGTGGCCACAGCCCATCCTACCTGCTGCTCCCGGTTTTGGGCCAGCAGTAGGCCCACCTCCGCCAGCCTCTCCTGGAGGACCTCCTGGTAGACCATGTTCAGCTGCAGGCAGGTCTCTGGGTCCTCAGGGAGTGCTCTGTCCTTGGGATCATCCTCGTCATTGCTGGCCTCGCCCCACCTCTCTTCCTCCTGGTCACGAACCAGACGAGGCATGTGAAGACACGTAACAAGTGTTTCCCATCCTCTTGGCCCCAGCCTGGACTCAGGTACCAGTCCCAGGGTCTCAGGACACCAGGGCAGCTTCAATGCAAAACCCCCAAATGTGGAACCAGAGTGAGGCTGGCGGGTAACAGGAACAAGTTCATGTAGAGGGGGTCCATCACTCCCCAAGCAGCATGTGCACATCTCCTGGTCTATGTGACAGCAGAGTCAACTGCCATTTGGGCAGGGCTGGTGTGAGGACACAGCAATTCTCAATAATCAAAACAAGATTTCTCTAAGAGCTGAACTTCACAACAAGCTTGTGTCACTCTCGTCACCGGCAAAACACAGTGAGCAAGGCCACATGTGCAAGGAGTCTCTGCAGAACCACTGAGGCCCAAGAAGGAAACAGTCGCGTGCCTTCCAGGGGGTGACCAGCCCACAAGCACAAACTGTGCCATCCCACAGGGTGTACAACGCAGCCATGGAAACATGAACCGACTCTGGGTCCACTGACTCTGTGAGAAAAGTAGAAACCAAATTGTAAAAGTTTCCCAAAATAAACAAGGAGCTACTAACAACTGGCATCATGGGACAGTTGCCAGGTGCCACTTGGGTACCTGAGTGTCAGCTGCCTTGTGCAGTAACTGTCCCACTGCCCCGTGGGACACTGAGGCAGAGAGAGGTGAGTTGGGGGTACTCAGGCACATGACTCTGCCATCTGCGCATGAGGTATGTTGCACGTGAGATGAGCGTGCACCTGTATGAGCTCAGAAAAACCAACTGGCGTGACTACCCAGCTGGTAATGGTGGTTATTTCCAGGACAACTCTAATTTTGATGATAAATACTTCGCGATAACTCTTTCTTTCGTATGACAAATGTGCATTACTTTCATAACACTGAAAAACCAACAGAGGCTCAGACTACACTCCCAGGGCCACTCTGGAAGGTGGCAGCAAGTGTGACCCAGCAGCAGGGTCAGGCCAGCAGTTACCGAGATCAGGGCACCAGCAGCCTCCAAGTCCTCCGCAGGCAGTGAATCTGTCAGAAACAAAAGCACACCATGTTGGTGACCATGCTGGGAGTGGGGCAGGTGGTGCAGCCCACTACCACCTCCAGGGCAGCATAGGTACAGGGGGTGGAGGCCCAGAGGGCTGCAAGGTCATGAGAGCCCTCAGGGGGCAACAGTGGTGAGTAGACCTTCCCTTCCTGATGGGGTGGGTGCTCACCAAGGCAATGTCAGCCAGACAAAGATGCTGACCCAATGCTAGATGTCCCTAGGGGACAGAGCCACACAAGGCTCACAAGACTATACTGTCTAGTGCTGTCTCATACCAGAGGAACAGCCAGGAAGGGTTTTGCTGGAGACAGTCCCATCCTGCAGGAGCTCAGCATGTCAGGGGAGGGCACCAATACTGAGGCCCTGACCACAGGAAAAAGAGTGGTCATCTCAGGTCCGGGCCCCGGCCTGGGAAGAAGTGGGCAAAGAGGCTGGAGGCAGTCAGGGCTGGAGAAAGGCTTAGGGGCTAAAGAGCATGTAAGGGGAGTGTGGAGGTGGGCAGAGTACAAGTCTCCTGGTAGAGCTCCTCTGAAGGCCTGTCATGGAGCCCAGGAAGAGATCCTGGGGTGAGTCTGGTGAATGTCAGGCTGTGAAGGGCTGCACTCAGAAGCCCAGCACAGGACCAAGACACGCCTATTGGGAGGTCCCTTGAGCTCAAGCCCAGATGGCAGGTCCCTTCTTTCCTGCCCCTCCTTAGGCTGTGGAGGCAGGGTACTCGCACACAGTCAGTTGGGCCAGGGGCCAATGAAGGAGGGACTGTCATGAACACTTCAGCTAGGATAAAGGCAAAGACCAGTGCTAGTAAGAAGTGACCCAATACAAGCAGCACCAGCACAACTTTTATTTTACTCTTTAGAGATGGGGTCTCACCCAGGCTGGACTCAAACTCTTGGGCTCAAGAGATCTTTACACCTCAACATCCCAAGTAGCTAGGATTACTCAGCTACCATGACATGGCTAAAGGAGCCCCAAGGGCAGACACAGCTGTTCCCAGGAGATGAGGCCTGGCACCCACCTGCTTCAGAATCTGAATCAAGACTCGATTCTGAGAACTCTTCATGGATGCCTGTTGAGCCGGGCTCCAGAATCCTTTCCAGTTCCTCAATCTCCTGTGTGATCTTCTCTCTTTTGGCATCTATGTCCATGGCTTCGTCTGTCTCCAAGATGTACTGTGAGACATTAGAAACCTCCTTCTGACATCTGGCTCCCCATGTGAGGGCCAAGCCCAGGCCCACACTCCTGTACCCAAGAATGACTGTTCTATACTCTGCCAGGTGCCAAAGCCCCGTGAATGTCCCCAGCTGCTCTGAGGCTACGACAGCACAACTGAGCGGGGATGGACACTGACACAGTCCCTCTGCCTGGTCCCCGCTCCTGTACCCAAGCCATGAGGGAGTTGGTCACCCAGTGCAGAGTGCAGTGCGAAAGTCACTAGAGGACAAACATGGGGCCTGTAGCCCTGAAAAATCTAAACCCGTGACCAAAGCTTCAGGCGCATCCTGCTGTCCCACGGCAGAGCTGGACCCACAGAGGATGCTGGACAAATGTCTGTCGAAATACAGACTGCCAGGTGATAGGCACAAACAACACAGGGAGCTCCAGAAGGCAAGGCTGTCTGTGACCCCTACTGTCTCCCCAGCATCCAGAACAGCTCCCAGCATGTGACAGTGCCTGGCACTGAGTAAATACTCAATAAGGCAAAGATGAAGATGTTTTCTTAGGAATGTTGGTCTGGGAATCCTGAAGGCTGAAGGAAGCGAGAAGGGCGGGAGAATGAGGCGCCAGCAGAGTCTTCCAAAGAAATACCAGCACAGGCTAAGGACCCAAAACAACATGTAACACAGCGAAACAGTCTGCCTCTGTATGGCCTCTCCCTGTGGAGACTCTGATGGGGCCCTGCCTGATTGGAACAAAACACAAGCACCCACCAGCAAGCACCCTTCAGCTGCACCAGCAGCCAGGTCCCCCCATTCCTGCACAAGTGCACACGTCAAACGTTTGAACCGGCAAACCCAGTCAGCTGCTAAACGTCAGCCAGATCTGCAGTGCTAGCAGCAACTACTGGCAACCTCAAGGCTGCCACTTCCTCCAGGCTGGCCAGGGGGAGATGTTTTCTCCTGGAAGACTAACCTTGAAGAAAATGGCAGCTTGTTTTCTGATGACAGCTTCAAGTCTCACCTCCCATCCCCACCCCCTCCTCATGTTGAGTTATGAACAGGAGGAAGGACGTCAGAGTCACAAGGTCAAGTCCTGAGCCACTAACACTAGGGTGTTCCTGCCCACACCCCTTTCCCTTCTGAAGGGTAAGCACGAGGGGATGCCCGCCAAGATGGTGGCAGAAGACAAGCCACTGCAGAACCAGGACCTGAGACCCAACCCTAGATTTGGCTGTTCACAAGGAGGCCAAGCCTCCCCCCACGGCTGGGCTCAATCAGTTCCAGGACGCCATCAGCAGGATCGTGGGGGGGGGGGGGGGGGGGGGGCGTAAAGGCGTTGGCTTGGGAGACCCAGTCTAAGCCTGGTTCCGCCTCTTGCCAGTCGAGGGTCTTCGGCAGCCACTGCCTTCTCTGAGCCTGAACTGCTGGTCTGTGGGATGGGGCGAAGAGTCGCTGGTGCAACCCTCGAAAGGCACTCGGAGCCGTTCCCTGCGCAAGCGGCCGCCCGTCCCGGGGACCAGGCCGACGGCGGGGACGCAGGGGGAAGGGCTCTGCTTCGTGGATAGCTCCGGAGTCTCCGTTGCGCCTCGCATCTCGCCCGCGTCGGTGGGGGTCCCGGACTGGCGCCGTGGCCGCTTCTCAGCCAAGAGCTCCTCGGCCAGAATCCTCCATGGGTCCAACCTCGGCCTGCCAGGTCCCCCCGACCCAGGCAGAAATACGGCCACGCTGGACCTGAGTTTCCCCGTCTTTAGGCGCTGCCCTGCCCCCCCAGCCCCGGGTCTCCGCAGTCCGCTCCTCGGGACAGCGCCGCCTCCGCGGGAGGGGCCTTGTAGCTGACGGCCCAGCCCAACGCCTCACCTGTGGGTTGCAGCACCAGCCTGCCCGTGCTGCCAGCGCCGTCGCCGGGGCGACCGTAGACAAGACGCTTCCGGCGGCCGAGGTACTAAGGGACGCACAGCGGAAGTCCCGCCTCCTGAGGCGCAGGGCATGCTGGGAGGGCCGCTCTGATCCGAGGAAACCATGGAGAGGCGAGCCCGGTGCCGCCCTCGCGCGGTTGTCCTGGGGCCGCCTCCGCGCATTGTGGGGGGCACGGGGTGGAGACTGCAACCCAAGGGCAGGGACCAGCTGGAACGTCGGTGATGGGGGACAGTCACCGGTCACTGCTCTGGGATCGGCCAGCCCGACCACCTGGCAGTGATCAAGTTCCCTCGAAACCCGGCGAGGAGGGCGATTAGAGCGGGTTCTCACCGGCTGTGCGGCCTTCATCGGTTCCCAGGCCTGTTTCATCCTGTTCACTGCATCTCAGGGTTTGGTCAAGCAACCAACGGGATATACGTGCAGGGCTTTTCCCGAGCTGCCCCAGGTGCTCAGTACTGCACCAGGCCGTCTCCAGGCTCGTGCACAATGCTAAGAGGTCAGAGGATGGGCCCCCACCACACAGGGCTCACCTCCTTTTTCACCTGTGCACTTCTTCCGGAGAGCTGCCTGGTCCCTACTCTAAGTGACATTTATTCATTCAGGAACATTCCAGGGCCAGCTCTGGACACAGGTCTCCAGTTCCTGCCTTTTGAGAGCTTTGAGTATATGGAGGTGCTGAGACCATCCAGGGCCCAGCAGGTTGGAGCTCTGGCCAGTCTCTGGTGAGGCAAGGTGAGACCTCTGGGAAACCATCAAGGGGGCTGTCGGGTCTACCAAGGCTTTTGGTGGCAAAAGGCTAGATCTGGGTGAGGCCAAGTCTGAAGTCTGGGACTGGCACATAAGTGGGAATGGAGAGGACAGAACCAGAAAGCTGTTAGCCTGTGGGGTACAACGGAGCACCTGCCTTGTGCTGGAACCTGCTTGTGTGGGGCTTAAGTCCAGGGACAGAGACAGAGGTGGAACAGCAGGGCACTGTGAATTGTGCTTCTAAGCTTCTGTGGGACACTTGAAACACAGACCGTCAGAGAGCAGCACAATGCCGTGGGGCCACCCCATCCCTGCTCCACCTAGACCCCACAGCGCTCACAGGTAGCAGTCATAGCCGGCTGGTGTGAGGGCCACATCTGCAGGCTGCTCTTGGTGGCCGTGCTGCTTCAGGGGCAGCCAGTGAAGGGGACCATGCTGATGGCTGCTGCATGACTCCCCCCTGTAAGATGCTTTGTCTCCCACAGGGTCTCGGGGTAGCTCTGCACCCCAAGCCATCCTCCTTGAAGCCCAGCCCTGCTTCTAGAGTTCCTTGAGCTGCCCTGTACACCCAGTGGGAACCCTGTTCCAGCACTTTCCTACCACACCACACTGGCTGAAGTTGGCTGATGACAGAGCCCAGAACTTGGTTTTTACCAACAGGCCAGGGGCATGAGGTGGTGCACGGGGGTAGGCAAAGAACACGCTCAATGGTGACTTCTGGAAAGCTCTGACCTTTGCCTATAGCTAGGGCTGGAGGATCCAGGCATTTAAACACCTTGTTTGAAAATTCAACCATGTCTCAAAGAGTGACCCAATGCTAGATACCAATCTGTCCAGCCCTAAGGTGTGTGGGAGGCAACCACACAACTGTCACATGTTGGTCACCCTGGGGAGGCCCAGACAGCAGTGATCTGAGTCCATGACCTGACCCTGAGGGCCACAGACCTGAAGAGTGGCTTTGCCAGCACAAATCACTAGTTAAGAACAAGCGAGATGCAGGCCCAAGCATTGGACAGCAGTGAGACTCTCAGCACTGAGAACCGACATATCAGAATAAAAGGCAGTGCACGTGAACTTCAGGGTTTATTTAAACAAGAAAGCTATCTACCTGAGCAGAAGGGAAAAAAGTTTAAAAAAATAACAACTACAAGGAAACAGCCAGAAAGGCATCTAGTATACACCCACCCTTCCCTCCGCAGAAGGGCAATTTGAAGGCAGCACGGAGACCTCTGCACCCCAGGAGGCTCTGCACATACTTGAAGTTCCTACATTCTCAACTTCATTTGTACAAAATGCTACTTCAAACATATACAAACCCCAGTCAGAAACAGTTTTCCAAATCTGAACGCTCAGAGGTACATCAGACAGCTTCACATCATGGAATGTGTGACTCAGGTCCTGTGGGTCCTGGTGGGAGAATGGGCCATAGACCACAGGAACCACCCTGCAAAGGTCTAAGAGTGACCTGGAGCTAGAGGGGCACTTTAGTGACAGGAAAAAGGCACGCGTCCTGCTGAATCCATCACTACTGTGATGGCTTAGTGTTTTCTACCTATGAAACCAAGGACGATCAACTGTACTTGGCTTGCAAGTGATGTTCTGGGATGATCGTGGAAAGCACTTATTAGAGAACTGATGTTTTCATGTTTGATCATTTTTTAAAAAATCGCTGGCTTTTATAAAAATTCCTTCCAACAGGTCATGAGTATCTATGAAAGAGGAATCCCATCAGCAAGGCCGCATGGGACCGGGAGATATGCCTCAGGGAAGGAGCCGCTCCCACTGTGGGTAGCCAAGGATATTGTTTCTGGTCATGACATTAGTATCTCACGATAAATACTTTACTCTGGGTGAAGACGGCATATGTTAAGACACAACTGCACGTTCACATGAAGTGTGGCGACCTCCGAGTGCACAGGACTCCAGCAGGGCGCAAGCCCGCGGGCCTCAGGAGTCCTCCTCCTCATCTTTGATTTCGGAAATTCTGTCTATAGACTTAAGGATTTCAGCAACAAGGTTCAGCGTTTCAGCTCCGGAAACCAGCTGCCTGGAATGTAAATGCAGAGACAAGCACCCAGCACAGTAAGAGCAGCAGGAAAGAAAGGAATCAGGGCAGAAACCACAGGTTTTTAAAAGCTGAGCCATAAACTAGGAACCCTGGTACCTGACTTGCCAGAATGGACTTCCCTGTTGGCCCGGGGGAGGTACAGTCATCACTGCCAGTGACAGTAGAGTGCCACTATGCCAAGCACTGCAGTAAGGGCCTACCAGGAATTCATTTGCTTTTTACAACAGGAGGAAAACAACTATTTCCCTCACTCAGAATTTTAGTGTCTTGTAGGTGATTCAAATCTCAATGGGATTCAAATCTGTGGTCCTGATGCCAACACTTTCCAGAGAGGGGGAAGATCATAGCAGGCAGAAGGTTAAAAGGCCTGTGGTCTGTCCACATGGCAACCTGGGGGGTTCCAGGCCCACGTAACACCTGGCCCTTTCTGGAGCATCCTGTCCCCGAGCCACAGGCTCCCCCGGAACAGAGATGTCCACTCCAACCTCTCCCTGCCCCTCCAAGCCTTCCCAGCCCCACGGTGCTCACTTGATGGATGCCTGTGCGCTGTTCATGACAACACGGAGGTTCTGCAAGGCCACATCAGTGTTCTGCTTTACCACCGTCAGGCTGGCACCCTGGCCTGAGCGCAGGGTCTCATTCTCGCGCTTGAAGTTGGAGACCTGCGCCTGGGGAACATCGGCAACTGAGCAGAGCAGTACGAGGCAGCACCACTGAAGTCACATGCCCTGGAGGCAGGGCTCATCTGTGGGCCTGCCCACTCAGGATGGGTGCTCTTGCCTCAGTGGGGGTGCCGATGGGCCTGACACCTTCTCCTGCTCCATGGTGTGCTCAGCACCAGCCCCACACAAGGGAGCTCCTACAGGCACCTGCCAGGGCTGAATCAGATACCCCAAGGCTTCCCTTTATGTAAGGCCCCAGTGGCAAGCTGGAGCTGTCCTGAGTCTAAGTCCTTTATATGCTCGGGGCATGGGGCAAACCCCAGCAGAATCTTTCATGGCTTTTTCTTGAATTCACAAAGATGTGACCCCACAAATCAAAGGAAACCGACTACTAAGACCTTTTCTTCAATTACCTGGAGCAGGTTTATTTCCTGTTTCAGTTTCATGACGTGATTTTCTGCCTTTACAGCCCGTTTCTGTTGTCCAAAAAATAAAGAAAAACAGCATCGCCAATGTCCTCACATCCCTACAGGACACTTGCCTTAACACAGGCAGCAGGAGGCCACCAGTCCAGCCGCCGCACTGCATGGCCCTTCTGCCTATGTCCTACCTCCCTGGCAGACAGCCTGTGGGGGACTCATTCACAGAACCTGTGCTATGGCCTCATTCACTGCTGGCCTCTGGTCACCATCCCTGGGCAGAGTTTGACAGCAATGCCATGGGACGCCGGTCCCTGGCATCCCTGAGAGCTCCGAGGACCATCTGTGCCAACTCCACCACATCCCTGAGCTGTGGCCTCCAGAGCGCCCTCCTGCCCCACCCACACTCTGCCAGGCCCCGCACCGTCATCAGCTCGAGGTTCTGTTCTACTTGCTGCACCACCGACTCCAAATCATGGAAGTCACTTTCTTCCTTAATCATCTTGGCTTCCAACTTCCGCTCGAGGGTCCTCACCCTGGTCAAAGAAAACCTGAGTCGCAAATCCACATGGCTGCTTATAAGAATGCTTCTACAAGACACTTTGATTTGGTTAACCAGATAAAAACCACTAAGAACCTCCTAGAGTAGGGGTCCCCAAGCCCCTGGGCCATGGACCAGTATCCACCCACAGCCTGTTAGCAACTGGGCCACTAGAAGTGAGTGGTAGGCCTGCGAGTAAGCAAAGCTTCATCTGTATTTTCAGCTACTCCCCATCACCTGCATTACTGCCTTAGCTCCAACTCCTGTCAGATCAGCAGTGGCATTAGATTCTTATAGGAGCACGAACCGTATTGTGAATTATGCACGCGAGGGATTTAGGTTGTGCGCTCCTTGAGAATCTAACGCCTGATGATCCCCCCACCATCTATGAAAAACTGTTTTCCATTAAACTGGTCCCTGATGCCAGAGAGGATAGGGACTGCTGCCCTAGAGAATAAGCCTCTGGTAGACAGAAGGCAGGGCAGTCCCAGGCCTCCAAGGCTGTGCTTGGAGGCAGGCCTGGGGGCAAGGGAGGGGCACCCAGCACTGCTGCTTCAGCAAGTTCAGTGGATTCTGGTCTAGTGTTTACAATAAACCTTTACCAGGAATGTACTGGATGCTGAAGATTTACATACAATAAAACCTAGACCCAGACTCTGATAACTTCATGATCATTTAAAAACGTATTTCCCTGGGCATTAGAAGATGTTTTGAGTGCACTCCTAACTAAAAGCTTACATACATTTCTGTTTGAGTTTCAGAGAAGCTCTGAACCTCATTCAGCTTTCTTCTTAGCTTAGAATTCTCATCCTTCAGCTGTAGAGAAAGAAAATTCTCATTAGAAACTCAAAAGGGGTATGCACTTCTGTAATTTAGCTCTAAGACTTTTTAAAAGAGACAGGGTCTTGCTCTGTCACACAGGCTAGAGTGCAGTGGTGTGTTCATAGCTCACTGCAGCCTCAACCTTGTGGGCTCAAGTGATGCTCCCACCTCAACCTCCCAAGTAACTGAGACTACAGGTGCATACCACCACACTTAACCTACAACCTCCTGAATAACAGAAATATCCAGGTCACTGGAGGGTCAGCCTGTAGTACATTAGTAGAGAAAGGTTGTGAGTAAAGGTGTACATTTTCAAAAGACCTGTGGTCACAGGCTACAATTTTACTCATAAACTTGTAGCTTTAAGTGATTATAGTTTTATATATACATATAAATATATATATACATATATATAAAAGCATTTCCTCCACTTAGAACACTTAGTAAGCTGTTCCTGTGCTGATGGCTCAAGTTGGCCTTTTCTGAGGGTGTAGGGTTTTTAAGGGTCTCGATATTATTCCAATTCACCCATAAGAAGAGCCATACCTCCTAACTCATCACAGTCTTTTTAGCCGGTTACACTCACATTTGTAGTCAAAGTCAAAGGGAATTCATATAACATGAATTGTCCTGTCCTGGAGCTAAACCCTGGGCCACCCAAGAATCAAAGTGACTCCAGGCTCTCTCAGGAGAACCCTGCTCAGACGGGTACGCCATGCCAGGGCACCAATGAGAGCCCTCACTTACTGCTTCATAACTTATCTGCAGCGTCCGAAGATGCCTGTCTCCCAGGGACTCTCCATGACCCGCAAAGTCTGTGCTGGGACTCCCTGCCGGAGATGCCGGAGACACACGGGAGTCAGTGTCACTCAGTGTCCACGGAGGCAGAGACTCAGGCCCCGCCAGCTCCGATGGAGTGGAGAAAAAGGAAAGGTACGTGCCACAGGGCGAAGTGCTGGAAGTGGCCCTGACAGAGTGTGTCTGCTCCATGGCGGATGGTAGGTAGATCCCTGTCCAGCCAGGATCGGTGTCCTCATCCTCCTCCTCGTCCAGGAGGTCGCCGGCTCCCGTCGGGTCTTCAAAAAACGGCTGCTGGTATTCCAGGCCATAGCCCACAGCTTGGGAGGTTGGGGGGCTGTGGTCAAGTTCCAGGGAGTGCCGCGAGGCTTCCTAAAAAGACAGCGGAGGCCATGCTTCTGACCGAAACCACGTGCTTTCCTCTCTAGGTCCAACCCTGGAACACTGAGAAAGGCCTGTTCCTGTCTACTAGAAGAATCCAACAGCTTCTTAACCCCACATTACTCCACCAGCATGAACAGCTGCCTTGCTAGGCTGCATGCCCTTGCACAATCTCCGAAGGAAGGCTGCAAATCAGAAAAGAGACGTCCCCCGAAGGTACTTCTGAGTTCTCGCCAACAACTCCTGAGATTTACCTTTGTGTAAGTCCTGCTGGTCGTGCTCTCGTTGGACAGGCCGAGACTCTTAGTTTTCAGAAACTCTTTAAAGGAGAATGGATTTGCCTCTTCAAGATCTCCAAGCTTGTCATCTGAAATAGCAGACAGTGCATGTGCATCAAGTCTGCTGAAGGGCAGTAAAAGGGAACCTTCCTGCTCACCCGTATCAGAGCACAACCCTGTGGCAATCGGGAAGGCTATGCTCATCGTCCTGCCATGACTAGGCGGCATCAGGACATGGTAAAACCAACTGAGGGGCAAGAAGAGATCTGTTTCAGCACTTGAAAGTCTTTTTCTCTGCCCTCAGCCCTGTGGTTTCCACACTGTGCAGCCCCTAGGAATCCTCTTGAGGGGATCCTCAAGATTACTGGTGTTGCCTCCATGCTGCACCCAGTCCGCTGGTTTGGGGCAACCTGTGCTGGGAATTTGCAGAGCTCCTCGGGTGCCACAGAGCTGAGGAGCCAGTGCTTTCAACCCCTTCTCTGACCTCTTTACCTAGCTAACCTAGCTGCCGCACTCTTTCCTTCTCTCTCCCCACTTCCTTCCCAGTCTCCTAAGAAGCCACAACTTGCCCCTGTGTCCCACCAGCAGTCCAAGCCTCTCCCAGGCCATGGCATGTACAGTTGACTCCTGTAGGCCCAGCCCCATAGGTAGGACCTTCCACCCCTGACATCCCCCATGGCCCAGGTTCTTCTGCCCCCGCACCCTTGTTCCTTCCACTCCAGGATCAAGATGGAATCCTCGGGATTCTACCCCCACCTGTTCTTTTGTGGTCCAGGCACGTTACATATATCCCCTCAAATCGACAGCCCCACCAGACACACACCTGCCACTGTGTGTTAGGCAAAGAGAAAAAGGAAGGGTTACCAAACTACTCTACCTCCAAAACGTGTCTCCTGGGCTCCTGATGGACCTTGTTTAGTACATTTCCCCTTTCCATAGCCAAAATCTGCAAAGAAACATTGTCACCCCACCATGATGATGGGAAGCTTCCCATGACTACATTTTTTTGTTTGGACATGAAGTCTATTGGTTCTCTGTGTCTTTACAGTTCTCGTTACCTGTAAGTTTTAAAAGCACAAGCCCCAGCAGAATGTAGTGGCATGCCCCTGTAATCGCAACTACTCAAGAGGCTAAGGGAAGAGAATTGCTTGAGCCCAGTCCAAGACTGGCCTGGGCAATGCAGCGAAACCCTAATTCAAAAACCCAAGCAAAACAAAAAACAAGCCTCAGAATTACTGACCCTAGAGGTGGTCTGACTCCCACTGACTGGCCCTGTTTCCTGTGATGTTAAAGATACTCCCCCAGGCCGGGCACGGTGGCTCAAACCTGTAATCCCAGCACTTTGGGAGGCTAAGGTGAGAGGATTGCCTGAGTCCAGGGGTTCAAGACCAGCCTGGGCAACTTGGTGAGGCCTCATCTCTACAATAAATCAAGAAATTAGCCGGGTGTGGTGGCACGCACCTATAGTCCCAGCTACTTGGAAGGCTGAGGTGGTAGGATCACCTGAGCGCAGCAGGTAGAGGCTGCAGTGGCTGTGAGCGTGCCACTGCACTGCAGCCTGGGCGACAGAGTAAGACTCCAATTAAAAAAAAAAAAAAAACTCCCCAGTAGGCCGATAACCAGCTGGGGCTCGGGCTGTGTGTCCTTCTGCCTTGTGATACCCCTCATATGTCCCAGGACCCTGATGTAACCACTTAAATCCTTCTGTACACCTGCAGCACAGCTGCTTGGGTAGAAGGAGGATGAGCTGGACCAGGCCACCACCTGGCTATGGAGAGATGGATCACTCCAGCTCAGTGTCCAATGACCCCCCCCCCACTGGATGAAGGCTCACTAGACCTCACCCCTACCCCACCCCCATCTAGAGGAAGGAGGTAGTCTCCTGAGTTCCCTCTGGGCACGGATCATCCTGTGTTGGAACTGTCTGTCTTGGGGGGAATCTCCCCACAGCCAGACTGTGAGCTCCGGGGGTTACCCCTCCGCCTTTGTATTCCCAGTGCCGGGCACTCTGAGCTCAGTGCTCATTGTTGGGTCAGTGGACGAGTAAAAGCTGCAGCAGAGGTACCTACAGGCGGTGCAGGGACCGGAGGCTCCCGAGGCTGTCGCCCTTGTCTCTCACCTGTGTCTCCCACGGAAGCTAGCACCGGACTGGGCACATAACACATAAAGGTCGGCCGAATGCCGAAGAAGTGGGAATCCAGGTCCCCGCCATGGGGGCGCTCACAGTCTAGCTGGGGGAGACAAGACCGGCGCTCATAGAACGCAGGAGCTGCAAGTGACAATAAGAGCGACTTCATTGCGTGCTGGTCGCCAGGCGCGGAGGCGGCACCTACCTGGACTTCTCGACCCCTGGAGGAGGAGGCGCGGAGGCCACAGGGGAACCCCCCAGGCCCCGCACCGGTCAGGCTGCACTCGGGCACCCGGTCCCGCCCCCTCCCGGCCCAGTCCAGCCTCGCTCACCGTCCGGAATGACGAGGCTCCGGGCTCGGGACAGCGGGGTGGCGCCTGGGCGGCGCAAGTAGCCCGACATCGCCGCGGGTCCGGCACGGCCGGAACTGCCTAGCCCGGCAGCGCCGGCTCCATGGTCCCGGTTACGGCCGGGCCGCGGTCCAGCTCGCCCGCCCCGGACGCCCGCAGCTCGGCCGCCGCCGCCGCTCCGAGCCTCTTGCCGCGGCTGCTTCCGCTCCGAGCACCGGAAGCGCGCTCCCGAACGCCGCTGGCCGACGCCGGGGTGGCGGGGTGCCGCTGGCGGAAACGGAAGTGACGACAGAAGCGGTGGGCGGAGACCCAAGATGGCGGCTGTGGTGGTCGCGGCGACACGCTTGCTGCGTGGGTCTGGTGCTTGGGGTCGCTCGCGGCTGAGGTGAGCCGAAGGCGAGCCGAATTTTGGCTTGGGACCAGGGCGTCGGGGGTGTTTTTGGCTTCCGTAGGGGATATGGCGCCCGTCGGACGAGCTCTCACTCAGGGACACCAGCCTCGTCCCTGAGGCCACAGGGGCGATTGCCTGCTTTGCGCCTAGAGCCTGGGCGCGCAGTCCCATTCGTCTCTCCTCCCCTGGCTACTGGTTTCTGTTTCGCCCTCACCTCTCGGGCCAGCGGGCCTTACCCGAGGCCACCGTCTTCTCTGCCTCTGCCCTTTGGCTGCCGCGTGCTCCCTCCGGAGGCTGAGCCGGCGGGGGCTCAGCTCTGTCAGACTCACAGGGTTCTGTCTGACACCAGAGTCTAGGCTCGCGACTGCTGCGCTGTGTCCCCTCGCCTGCTGATTCCTCATAAGTTTAATGTCTCCGTCCCCACCGCTTTTCCCGCCCAAGTGGCCAGGCCTGCCTTTTCCTACGCTGGCACGTTCGTTTGGGTCACAAATATGTCTTGATCCCTCACTACATAATAGCACTTATTGAGGGATATAGAGTTGCTGTCTTCAGTAAGTGGATGCAGACAATAGCGTGAACAAAATATCCGCGGTGGTGTAAATTTTTTGAAATAAATAAGCAGCTTCAGGCCAGGCGCAGTGACTCACACCTATAATCCCAGCATTTTGGGAGGCGGAGGTGAGATGATTGCCTGAGCCCACGGGTTTGAGACCAGCCTGGGCAACTTGGTGAGACCTCGTCTCTGCAATAAATCAAAAAAATTATCCGGGCATGGTGGTGCGTGCCTGTAGTTCCAGCTTCTTGAAAGGCTGAGGCGGAAGGATTGCCTGAACTCAGCAGGTTGAGGCTGCGGCGGCAGTAACCGTACCACTGCACTCCAGCCTGGGTGACAGTAAGACTCCAACTCTCCCATGCCTTTGGGAGGCTGAGGTGAGTGAATTGCTTGAGTCCGCGGGTTCGAGACCCGCCTGGGCAACTTGGCGAGACCTCATCTCTACAATAAAATCAAAAAAAATTAGCCGGGCGTGGTAGCGCGCGCCTGTAGTTCCAGCTACTTGGAAGGCTGAGGCGGAAGGATCACCGGAGCCCAGCAGGTCGACATTGGGGTGGCCATGAGTCTGCCGTACCACTGCACTCCAGCCTGGGCAAAGGAGTGAGACTCCAACTCAAAAAAAAAAAAAAAAAAAGCTTCAGTGATAGAAAGTAATAGGAAAGACTAGACAAGACTGTTGAGGGAATGCCCCCTTGTGAGCCAAGAGATTGGGAAGGGGTAGCCATGTTAAAGGGCAGGCCTTCTGCAGTGAGAGCAGAATCTTTAAGGGTTGATGAGCCCCGTGCTCCAGGAGTTGATCTAAGAGTCAGTGTGACTGGAAGCTTTGCGGGGGAGGGATGAAGGATTGTGGGGGTTCAGGAGATGAGTTTGGAGAGGGAGAGAGGGAGGCCAGGTCAGGCAGGGCCTTCAGACCAGCTTAACAAGGGGGTGTGGCTTCTTTCTGGTCTTCAGTGAGGCTGTTGAAGGGTAGAGCTGTTCTAGGTGTTGTATGTGTGCCAGCTGCACTTTTTAGAGTGAGTTACTGTTGGAAGTCCTATTTTACAGAGATGGTTATTTTCTTTTATTTTATTGAGTTGGAGTCTCACTCTGTCGCCCAGACTGGAGTGCAGTGGCCGCTCCTGGCCACGGCAGTCTCGATCTGCTGGGGCTCCGGCGATCCTTCCGCCTCAGCCTTCCAAGTAGCTGGAATTCCAGGCGCGTGCTACCACGCCCAGCTCATTTTTTGATTTATTGTAGAGATGAGGTCTCACCAAGTGGCCCAGGCGGGTCTCGAACCCGCGGGCTCAGGCCATCCACTTACCTCAGCCTCCCAAGGCACGGGATTACAGGCTGAGCCACCGAGCCCGGCTAGAGATGGTTATTAAGACCCAAAGGACTGAACCAGTTCCCTCGGCTGAGCCAGGATCCCTCCTCTGTGTTGTCTTTTGAGGCGTGTAGAGATAAAACCTTTAGAAAAGCGGGTGCTGACTTAATGCAGACACAACGCAACTGACTGCATCTGAGTGGTCATTGCAGGTTCCATTGTCTCAGTCTGTTGTAACTGGGCCGCTTTCTTTGTTTCAGGTTTGGACCTCCTGCATGCAGACAGTTTAGTAGTGGTGGTGCCTACCCCAACATTCCCCTCTCTTCTCCCCTACCTGGAGTACCCAAGCCTATTTTTGCTACAGTCGATGGACAGGAAAAGTTTGAAACCAGAGTTACCACTCTGGATAATGGGCTTCGCGTGGCATCTCAAAATAAGTTTGGACAATTTTGTACAGTAGGAAGTAAGTACTGCCAGTAGTGTATGGGTGGTTTTAAGTACTTTCAGTAGTATGAGGGTGGTTTTAGCATGTCTGTGCTTGAGTTGTCAGTTAGAATTAGTGTCAATTAAGAGTTGTACTCTGAGTGGAAGCATGCTAGAAAATCTGAAAATGTACTAACCAAAGTATGAACAGTGGTAAATTTTGGTGGTGACATTTAGGGTGGATTCTTCTCCCCCCACTTTTTTTTGGTAAACTCTTTTTCTGTTTAACCCAAGGATACTTGCCAGTGGTACTTACAGCTACAGCGTTTACCTGAGATTTAAAAAAAGGGGGGGGGGGATATAATAATTCTCTACTTTTTTTGTAGTTCATGTTAGGATTAGAGATATGTTCTGTTCAGAAATAACTCCCAGGAACAGCTTCTATATTTTATTTTTACATTGAAAACTATTCAGATTTGCTTTAGCCTCATAGAGTATGTTTGTGTGAAATTAAATATATGCAGGGAGCTGAATTTTTTTTTCCTTAACGGAAAAAGAGTTAAACTTTTCTGTCCCAGAAGTTTTCTACCACAAACATGAAGTGTACAACTTCATAAATGTTGACCGACATCATCACAATGAAGATAGTGAATGTATTCTGTTTCCCGCTGCCTCCCTCAGGGAGTGGCCTCTGGCCAAGGCTGGTCTAGGGTATGCATATTCCCAGTAATGAATCATGGATTGCAGGTGACCAAGTGAAAGCTGCTGACAAAATGTAGTCGTCATGTTTAATGAATGTAATTTTAAACACCAGGTGGGAATTTGACTAGTTAATTTTCTTGCTTTGATTATAAACCTGCTTGCTACCTTGCCCCAGGCGTGGATTCTTCACCGATCTGCCGCCATCGGTGTGTTCCATGAGTTTTAATAAATCAGTGTCTTTCCCTGCTGGACTTCTGGGTGACTTCTTTGGACTAGGTAAACATGTGCAAGCCCTTTCTCATTTGGGGTTACCAAGTTTCAGCCCTTATATAATTAAATCTGGTTATCAAGTTATATTCACAGGTTGAAAAGATTTCTCTTGATTAAGCGTTCTGTTTTGAACATCTGATTTAACCTGTCAATTTTCTCTCTATTACTAGTTCTTATTAATTCAGGATCAAGATATGAAGCGAAATATCTTAGTGGAATTGCTCACTTTTTGGAAAAATTGGCATTTTCGGTCAGTGTCCAGTTTGTCATGTTTGAGACTACTTTAGAAGGGTCTTTCAAGTTTTTCTTTTAGAGGATGGTTATTTTAATAAGTGATTAAGTTGCTAAGTTAATGCTAATAAGAAACTTTTAAGTTAAAGATAATTTGTTTTCATGTGTTTTGAAAGCAGAAGTAAATTTTTAAAAAGTTTTAGGGGTAGTTTGGATTGCTCATTTAAGTTTTCTTATTTGTTTTTACTAGTCTACTGCTCGATTTGACAGCAAAGATGAAATTCTGCTTACCTTGGAGAAGCATGGGGGCATTTGTGACTGCCAGACATCAAGGTACACCAGCTCTTACGTACAGACTTACTGTGTGTCCCTCTTAGTGAGAACTGTTATCATCCTTGGTCAGAGTCCCCCCAACCCACCGAGCCCCTTCCGTTAGAAAGGCTGTGGAGATTTGCAGTAAGTAAGCCCTGATCTGGATGGAGAACTGAGTGGAAACACAGATGGCTTGTACCCCACATATTTATAATAAGATAAAGAAAAAAAAAGCCACACAGGTGGCAGCACTTCCACAGAGAGAGAGAGTCCCCAGAAGCCCATTTCCCTATCAGCTTAGCCAGGTCCTTGACGACTTGCTAGGGATACAGAGCAGGCCCTGTTTCCAGGCTCCTCAGAGGTGGGCAGAGGGCTGGGCATGTGTAGGGTACCCAGGTGGCAAGGGCAGTGGAAGCTAGGGTAACGAGCAACTAACTCAGCCTGGAGTTTGGAAAGGAATCATAGGAAATGCTGCCTTGGGCTGGTTCCTGAAGGACTAGACAGAAGAGACAGAGACATTCCAGACCCAGGGGACATCGGATGCCATGACTCCGTGGCTCAGAGCTGGAAACGGCAGCGGCCTGCCTGTGGTTGGGGAGGATGCACTGTTGACTGGAGCAGGGTTGGCAGGGTGGAAGTTGGTCTTTTTTTGTTGTTATTAGTGTTTGTTTTTTTGTGGGACTCTCACATGTGGTGACATGATCATGGCTAACTGCAGCCTCAACCTCAGCTCAGGCAATCCTTCTACCTCAGCCTCCTGAGTAGCTGGAACTACAGGTGAGCACCTCCATGTCCTGCTAATATTTTGATTTTTTTTTGTAGAGACAAGGTCTTCCTATGCTGCTCAGGCTGGTCTTGAACTCATAGGCTCAAGCCTCCTGCCTTGGCCTCCCAAGTGCTGGGATTACATGCATAAGCCATGTGCCCAACTGGGATTGGTCTTTTTAGCTGGGGGTGTGGAGCTGGTTCAAAAAGCTCTGGGCAGTGTGAAGTGAGTGGACACAGATCATGGGCTGGCTTTTTAAATGACTGATTACTGGCCCGGCTTGGTGGCTCAGCCTGTAATCCCAGCACTTTGGGAGGCCGAGGCAAGTGGATTGC